AAATTGGACAGCTAATATAACACAACACATTAGTTGTATTTCCTTTAACTGGTGCATTATGGATATATAGTTGCTGATCGGCAGCTGGAACACAAACCACCAAATACAAAAACATAATTCAGATCCAGTCGTCATGACTCCACTCCGGAGGGATTCCCCGATCATTTCTTAGTTTATCATCCAGGGGGTGTCTCCTGTCCCCGGTGCAAACGCACTGCCTATGTGTATTTTTTTTGTCATTAACCTTTTTCTGACCACTTATTTATTTATTTTGGTGGCGATCCGACCTCCATGCTGCTACTCTGGTTCAAACTGCATCCACCAAACAATATGATTTATCTCGACCTCCCCAAAATAACCAAAATCTGACACGGTGTGAGATGTCTTTTTTAGCTGTTCTGTCGTCATTTCCTGCTATCTTCTCCATGCAGTCAGTCAAAATGAATGAATGAATGGGCGTTTCTTTGACTATTTATAGGCAAACATGGGCGTTACGTGAAGCCCGCAAAAGCTGCACCGCATTTCGAGTCGGTTGTGATTTATAAAGGGAAACCGGCGTAGGCCATACGCACTTTCCTCGCCGGTACGCAATGTTTGGTGAATCGGAAAGTGGCGGAAAATGTATGAACCTATTTTTCGGATTTCTACTACGTAAGTAACGTCAATCCTACGCACGGCGTTATACATGAGGCCCCAGATCTTAATGACATGTGTTGATGGTTTCCTCTGCAGGGTTGCCACCAGAGGATCAATGAGCTGTTCACAGATAAGATCGGCATGATCGGCATCGCCGCTTTGGTGGTCGCAGTTATTATGGTAAGAACAGAAAGCTGCACATCACACCTCAAAACGTTATATAACATATTGTATTGATGCCTGAATGGATCTAAAAGAAGACAGAAGACATTGTCATACATTCAAGTTTAGATTCGCAAGATTATCTAATTCGAGGACACAGACACCAATTTGGATGAGCACCCGTCTTAGTGAACATTATGTTACAATAAAAGGCCTGTATTATACAATAATATTTAAAATATTGAATATATTAGCATATTTAAAACATTCAATCTAACCACTGCTTGTGTTTGTGCTGGTCCTCCCAGATCTTCGAGATGATCTTCAGCATGGTGTTGTGCTGCGGGATCCGCAACAGCCCAGTGTATTAAAGCGAGGGGCCGACAGCCCGCTGGAGGAGGGAGGACCCCCGCGTTTCCGCCTCGCTCTTTCCCTTTTTTCTCTTATAAGCAGGAAACGTCACGTATTATGTTGCTTGCTGGATTTAGTCCGCTCTTTGAGAAGACAGCGTAACACATCCTCCATTGAGCATTTGAATTACACTGTCCATTCTTTTGTTGTCGGTCACACATGCTGGTTTGCATATTGGACCCATGCTACCCTAACCTGATATGTAGATATTATATCACACCAGTCACCAGTCCTGGTGCATTAATACTTTAGTGATGCATTAGTTGTTTACTGCTTCCTCGCGTATGAACATGCTCTTATATTCTTGGTTTTATGGATGTTTTTTCACTGTTTTATGTATAAACTGTATATAAATATATATATTAACAGTGCTTTATGACTGCCTCAGCATGGAAATTGTATTACAGCAGATCCTTCTCCTGTATTCTTCCTGCACTCTGCTTGTTTGTCTCGCTCTAGACTGAACCAGATGATGGTGTGTGCAGGAACTGACTAAAGAAGTAATTCTCAGTTAACCTTGTAACCTGGAACCAAAGTCAAAGTGACCCGATGTCTGTCATGTTGGACCTATGGAGTGTTTTGTCTTTGGCTGTCTGTCGCTCATCATGTGTCCAAACTGTCTGAGTGCTAAGTTGTATAAAACATTTATGGAAGGGTTATACAATTGTATCAAATGAAATCAAGTAATGTACGTTCAAAACACACTTTGGCTTGTTTGGCCGGCCCGGCTTATAAATCCTCACCTGCATCTCAAATGTAGTGAAAAGGTCTCATATGAATATCATGAAAGTCTCAATATCGTTTGTGTAATATGTTTAGCAGGCAGGAACATGTCACCAGGCTTTTGCTGCTCTGAGAAATCATTAGTTCACCTTTAGGAATTTGTTTGATGCAAGTGGATACAATTATTACAAATGATACATTTAAAAGGTTTTATACAACTTTGCACTTATTTGTGAAGGCAACGTGCATAATGTTATAATCATCTCTCCCAAATCAGAGGAATTACATTGAAATATGACCCATCACATTTCAACTCAAATCAAGTTGGTGGAAATATCTGGTTGAGTCTAGTCCGGCCTCATGTGACCTGCTGTGTCATAGTACTATCTCTCCAGCTACTACCCTTATCATCACCATCAATCAAACTGTGATATATATGGAGGTCCATTCCTGCCAGCGGAAAAAAAGAAAAAAAAGTCCCCCAGCCGAGACTCCGGGTATTTAACCTGAAAAGATGAATAGTTCCAGCTTCACTCTGTTACTTTGTTATTAATCCCTTACCAAGAAGTATTCAACTATCATGTTGTAACGTCAGTCTAACAAATTGATTTCACGGCTGTTGGATTGGCTGTTTGCTGTGTACTATAGGGCAGCTCAGTGACATTGAAGGCATAGTTTAGATGTTTTTAGTGTTGTTGTATGAGAAGTCAGTGGAGTGGAGGGTGTTTGGCAGACGCCCACTTTGAATAGAAACAAGTTACAGTACAGAAGCTAAGCTATCTACTGCTGTGGAGCTGCAAAACATTTGTTATCCACTTAAAAGAAAGGCCTACCTATTCAAATCAATATAAATTTGGCTATATTTATCTTGACCTTGCCTGCAGATGGCCCATTCCAACACGAAGCACACCAGACTCCACTGACAAAAACGGTTATTTTGGCCTTCAGAAAATGGTAGTTTCTTAATTCAGTAGTTTCTGTTATTGTGTGACTTTGGTATGTTTATTACACCAAAGTCACACAATAAAACAAACTAACTAACTGATACAGTTATATAGATGCAGTTTTTGTCAATGGAGTCTGGTGCCTGAATACAGTGTACAGTTAAATTGATATAGACTTTTTCAGTGGGGCCTCCATTTTAGAGCTTCTCAAAACATGGGGGGTGCCAACCACCATCCACTGGAAGTAGGATAAGAACGTCATACAACCCTACTTCTAAAATATCCAAACTATCCCTTTAACAGCTAGTGTTGAGCCACAAATCAGTCATAACTGCCTGCTGGAGTTCAGCCAATCACATGCTGTTTATTTGGTGCAGCAGGGTATGTAGCTGGATACTGTTCTGTCCTGAGGTCTGTTCCCACTAGCTCCCGCTGACACTAACACACACCTGCACACATCCATCACACACTCACATTAACTGAGTCATCTCGTGTAACCTTCCATATTATCACAGCTTTCCTCAACCAAGTAAAACCTTGTTAACATCTCATACTTAAACCAAGAAACAGTAAAAGTGTCTTGTAATATTTACAGCTCTGACGTATTAATGAAATCATGAAGGCTGTAGAAAGACAATGTATGCCTTTTCTTCTTCTTGTATTGTGATATCAGTGTTTGGTACGTTGTCAAAGGAGTCTGCGCAGAGAGGGGGAGATTCTGTGCCAGTGGTGAAAAGTGACCTTCAATAGTTTCTCCCCAGAAATCATTGGAAAACGTGACAACAGCCACCAGTCCAGTATTCTGAAGACTTCTGTGTTTGTCAGGACCTGCTGTCCATGTTGCTGCCTTTTTAAAAACAGGAAGTGATTCTCAGGATCCTCTGCCACTGAAATCTCAACCCCTCTCTCTTGTAGACTTTGGTTTGCCCAAATATAAAGGGATTAAATGTATTTTACAAATAAACAATCAGGTTGTCTTGTCTTTTTGGGGGGGAATTTTCTACAAAAACGCCTCTGAAATTGTAAGATCCCTACGTTTTTTTTCACCATTCATTCCAATGGCTGGCGTCTATGTCACGTGATCTTCAAATTTCTCCCTGCAGAAAAAAAAAACATGGCCGAACTTCGTTTTATTCTCAGTGGAAAATGCCTATTTTAGGGCGAGACACCCCAGGTGAATAGGGTAATTTTTTTAACTTAAAGATATCATCTAAACATTTCTCCAGTTAATTACTTACAATAAGGCAATTGTTTTTTGTATTACAAGTTTTCTGAAATAGCATGTTTAAATATGCAAATTAACCATCATCTCATTAAATATGCACATATTTTAACACATTTCAGGAACCAAAATCTGAACTTTGGATAAAGCCATGTTCAAAATTATTGTTTCATTTTGTAGTCATATTAGTATCTAAGGGATTTTGGATATCTCTTTGTATCACTCCATAAATCAGAAAATACTGTCAACAGCCCTAAAATATCCATTTTCGCCATGTTTTTAGGTATACAATGTTATATAATTCAGGCTATGAATGATATATGAACAAACCCTTCTGTAAAAGCCTTCATAATATTGATAGGAATATAACTGGAAGGTTTGGTGTATCTATGTGCAACTGAAGTGGACATTTCGAACTCAGAGTAGGAGAAAAAACTCACTCCCCTTGCTATAATGAAGACAACAGTTTTTAAAATGTAATAAACACTTTTTTTTTTTTTTAAAGATTTCCTATTTACATTTTTATTTTTTCACACACGAAATCAATAGTTATACTGATTGTAACATCCCCAGAACTGTCTCCAGCTTAGAATTCCCCAGATTACTGGAAATATCATGATGGAGTTTTTTCACTTCAGTCAAAATATTCATGTGTATGCTGTTTTTGACACAAAGATGCATTACATCTATAAACAGAGCATACAATGAGACAGTGGCGTGCACAGACATTTATAGGGGCAGGTGCTCAAGAGAAAAAAAAAGGGCACCTTCTGAGTCGTCGTGGCGGTCGCCCGCGCGCTGTTAGTT